ACAACAGTGGAACAAGAAGACACAGGTCCCTAAAACTCTAAACAGGTGGACCCAATTGTTCAGAAGGAGAGAGATACATCATCCTGGTGTTGTGATTTCTACCTGGGGCTCCCAGTGAGAGATGGAAGTGGTCAGGCCAAGGCAGGCTGGTCCCCCTCAGTCATCCATGGCTGATCTCTAGGAGGTCAGCTGAAGGGACATCTGGCATTGATGTCCCAACACCGCAAGAGACACAGGAGAAGTCAGAACCCCCATGCCCTTTTTGATGACTCCTTTGACATGATCTGGTGGTTTAATGAGAGATCAGACAGGCCCAGTTCCAGTGACCTTCCTGACTGCATTTGAAACTGGCTGGAAACCAGAGGTTCTCTTGCTTTGTGAGGCCAGGGATCCTGAGAAGTTGCTATACCAGTTGAAACACCTTTTTTAGCACTAGGTATTTTTGTTTGGGGACTTTCTTATCTTTCCTATGGTAAAACTTAAAAGTCATTTAAAAGAATTCTACATGTGGAGACAGGGGTCTTTTCTCCAAATGTTTAAGGTTGGCTCTAAGATCATGGAAAATCTGGGGAAACTAGGTCATAAGGAATGACCTTCCATCTGGGCTCTCAGGATCCAGATTAGTGTATTGTGAAATGGCCTTTGTGAGTCAGTCTAGAAATTGAGTTGGATCATCATGATTGTCCTGAATGACCTCTTGAATTTTTTTCCATAATTTACTTCTTTAAGGGTGGCCACCCAAACTACAAACCGACACCTATCAAGGATGTCATGTGGTGTATTGCAATTTCATTCAGGGTCCTGGTCAGTGACTACCTCAGGCATGACTGGACAGGGAAACTACTGCTGAGAGGGGAGAAGGAGAAACCAGAGATTCTATAGAGGAAGAGAAGAGACTATGGGTTGAAGTTTGTTAATGTGATTTAACATAGTTGAATAATCATCAGCTTTGGACCTCACAACTAGAAGGAGTTGTTTTTCCTTGGATAACTCATGTCATGTGGTCAGTTCTATCAAGATAGAAGCGGGTCACGTGACAATGCCCATCCTTTCCAACCCTAGGAAAGATGGTATCAGCCATGTGGCTACCTATATCTCTGTGAACAACACTGTCTAAGGTGGTAGCAAGACACATGTTTCCTTTAAGCTTATGCATGTATAGATTTTATCTATCATTTCTGGTGTTGTGAGTTTTAAATTAAGCCTTTCGTTACAGAATTACAGGATTGTAATCAAACCCAATATGCTTACACATCCTGAGGTACAGGACGATTACACAATAGTTTTACAAATCTTGAGATAGGATTTATACCTTAGAAAAGTTTTAGAGAGTTAAACCAAAAACAAAAGAGTATGAGATGAATGGGAATAGTCCATCCCTTCATTTTGTTTTTCTCTCCTTTCTCTGTCACAAAGCAAATGAATCACCTGAAAAGGGACAGAGATTTTGAAAGAAACCTTTCAAAAGCATGCTTGAGTCTAGAGAAGGGGAAATCATACCCTAACTCTAGTGGGACAGCATAAGACAAGAGTCTAATGCCACATCCACCTGAAGGATACTTGAATCCCTGTATAACTGCATCTAGTAAACTGAGAACAAAGAAGGCATGGAGATAGGAATGTTTTGAGTCCTGGCTATAGAAAATGGATGCTGCAAGAGGGAGATAAAAGATGCATCAGCTAGTGAAGTGTGTGGGCAGAGTGTGTACCTGTTGCTGCTGCCTACTACTTTGCTTTCTTACCCTACTGCAAGGTCTCCCTCTGAACTCCCACTTTGCAACAAACTTACAGATTATTCTATGGTTACTTAAAAGACAGAACATTTGCACAGTGTGTTGGTGCTGACTAGACCAAAGCAAACAGGGCTTGGCACAAAAAAAGAGGGAATAGGGACTCTTTCCACTTTCTCAATCATTAACAGTATTTGTAACAGTCCCAAATAATACTACATTCTAATGTGCATTAGGTTGCCCTTTGGATTGATTATCTTAGGGCTACTGAGGCCAAATTTTATTGTAAAACTTAATCAATTTAGGGCACTTCGGGTTGGGTGTCAGGTGGAGAGACTGGAGGTTTTAAAAGAGGCATCTCATGATGGAATGAAAATGTATGAAAGCAGGTCCCCATGGCTAAGAGAAAAGGAAAATGTCACTAAAGCCTGTAGTCATGGGCATCTCCAGGACTCAGGGTAGACTGAGCAAGGACCAAGCCATTCAGTGGGTTGTCACCATGCTCAGCTGGAATCAAGAGCTTAACCTGGCTAAGCCAGCAGAGAGTTTTGGTTTCAGAGATTTTGTGGAGGCCAGAAGGCAAGGATAAAAACTGAGCTCTAAGAAGAGGAGTCTCATCCACAGAAAAACATTGGGGGATGGGCAAAAAAAGGCATGAGGGCCTGAAAGAGCTGTGGGATTACAAGAAGCTCCAGGAGAAAGGTGAGAGATGGGGCCAGGAAGGGAAATAACAACCTGGTCTGGCCTAAGGAAACTGCAGGATTGTAGCTACAAGATGGGTGGGATGGGGTCAGGTGAAAGGGACAGCTGTAGGCTTAAAAACTGTGGCTGGGGTACCACCCCCCCAAGAGTACCAGAGGGGTGCTGGACACTCAACAATCACTTCCTCAGACTCAGCAAAATGTTTACATGGACAAACAGGAAATCTTATGCAACTGCTGCTGGTGGATGGAGTGCTGAGTGATCAGTGAGCCATAAGGTGATTCTGATGCAGGTGGATCACTCAACACCCCATCCACCAGCAGCAGTTAGGTAAGTTTTCCGTAGACCAGGAGGGGAAAGGCAGGCACCAGGAGAGCCTATCTGAGATATAGCACTAACTGTAAGCAAGACAGCTCAAATGGAAAGGTATGCTAACAGTTAGAAGCCAAGGAATAACACAAAGTTACAACTCACAACAAGCCTCACATAAAAGATTTATTGGGAGGGAAAAACAACAGGGTGGCTGCCACTGCTTGGGTGAGAAATGGCAGCCAACTGAACAGGATACTGGGATTATATAGAGTTTCTTGGGAAGGGGGTGAAAATTTTCATCAACTAAACCTATACTAACCCTGCAGTGCCTTCCCCACATACTCAGGACAAGCTCCATTGGTAAAACAGTTCCTATACTAGTATTCCTGGGTCATTCCCAGAATCAAGATCCTGACAGTGCCATTCTCAACAATTCCAAGTCCTAGAACTGGGAGTACAGAACATGTCCTTATTTTCATAATGATGTTCGTCAGACCTTTCCTGCATGAGCTGTACACATACTCCCATAAATTGCTTTGGAGTCAATGTAGCTTCATTGGCAATCTCTGTTGAGTATCTGTGGTGATATTTTGTTTACCATCTAACAAATAAAGCTTTCCTGGAGATCAGATTGCAAAGCTAACTGCACTATTCATCCATAGAGGTCAAGCAGTGGTAGGACCACCATTAATCCCAGAAGCCACAAGAAACTGGGCCATGGAGTTGCACAACTTTAAAGAGGAAGATAAGGTGGGTGGTGACAGGACTGGAGTGTATCCAGTTCTAAGCCTTGGTAGAAGAAAGAATCCTCTAGTGTCTTGGCTGTTATGCTTCTCTGATCTTTCAGCCCACCCCCACTCACTGCCAATATCTGTCTCTGGGTTTTTATTATTCATGCTTCAAGTACCTCCAGAACAGATCCTGCACTGGGGCCTCTACACTCTGAGGCATGCATCTGGAAACCCACATTGCTTAGCCAGATTGTACTGATATGCTGCCAGAACTTGGAAGCAACCTAGATGTCCCTCAACTGAAGAGTGGATAGAGAAAATGTGGTACATTTACACAATGGAGTACTATTCAGCAGAAAAAAACAATGGAATCCTGAGATTTGCAGGCAAATGGATGACACTAGAAGAAACCATCCTGAGTGAGGTAACCCAGTCACAAAAAGAGAAACATGGCATGTACTCTCTCATATATGGATGTTAGACATAGATCTGGGGAGTGCCAGCCTACAATCCCATGGCCAGAGAGTCTGGGAAACAGAAACTTCATTCAGTGGCTGATGGAAGAAGAGGCAGACTCCCATGGTCAAGTACTGAGCTGAACTCAAGAAAGCCAGTAACAGATATGGAGGACTGATGACCAAAGGGACTAAATACTTACTCTTAAACTCACAGATAAGTGCGGCTTTCAGTCCTCATCAAAAAACAAAAAACAAAAACTTCCTTTTCAGCAGACAGAGACTTTTACAGACATCAACAACTGGTCAGATTCAGAGAACTGACGATGAGGTACCCAACACAGTAAATACAGCTACAAAACTACCAACCCGTGTGTGTGTGTGTGTGTGTGTGTGTGTGTGTGTGTGTGTGTGTGTGTGTGTACATATAGGTAATAACAATTAAAGAAGAGGTGATGAAGTAGACAGGGAGTGGGGGCATTTGAGGACTTGGAGGGAGGAAACGGGGTGGAAATGCTGGAAATTCAAACTCATGAAATCCTGTAAAGGCAAACTGCTTCTCTTGAGTTTCATGTGTAGCAGATAATTTTTAACCAGCTTTGCTAGCATAGGGGACTCATATGAAGATGATACCTCAAAACCATGAAGATTTGCTTTCTCTGTATTGAAAAATGTTCCAGGTTTATTGATTAGCTCCCTGATTTGAAGATTTGGTTTGAGCAATGGCATAATTTCATTGAAACTATGCCCCACCATGAAATTTCTGATTCCTGCTTGAAGAAAGTTCTGAGGATTGTTGCACTCATTTGATTTTCCCTTTCTTTATACATAGTGGTTGCTTCCTGTCATCAGTTCAGAAACACTTATCCTAAAGCCTTGGTTTGAGGAATGTGGTATGGTCAAGAAAAAAATGGAAGCAGCCATAGTACAGGCTTATAAACTCAGCACTAAAAAATGAAGAAAGAGGATCAAGAGTTCAAGGTCATCATCTACTACACAGTGAATTTTAATTTAAGGACATCCTGGGCTTCATGAGGCACTGTTTTTTTTTTTTTGCATTTGGCACCTTGTCTAGATTGATACCTCAAGTATTCTCTTTTAATAAAGTTAATGCATACATCAGGACACACCACAAAGATTTGCTACATATTTACAAGGTACCAACCCTTTCTCACCTTAAACGTGAATTTAAGCAAATCAATGAAAAGCTTATCAAGATACCCCCACCCCACCCCAAAACTGCAGTATAAATATATACTTCAGTTCAGTACAGTTCATGAAAGTTTGGCCTGGGAAAAGTAAAATAATCCAGATCGTTCTTACAATATAGAAACTGTAAACATTTAATAGCTGCCTTTAGGATTAGTGTATTGTGCAAAAGTTATTATTACTGGGTATAGGAATCAAAATGGCAAAAACAAACTATATAAAACTCTGTAAGAAGGTGCTATACTTCTGTGATACAAAAGCAAAGAGGGATATCTTATTGAGATAAAAATGTCATGCTACTCTTAAGAAGCAGAATGCTCCTTTAATGTAGTAAATCTGTAGTGTGTCTGTGGTGTGTGTGTGTATGTGTGTGTGCACGCTTGTGTGCAAATGTCCATGCATGCGTATGTGCACACATGTATATGTGTGGGAAGAATTTGTTTTAATTTAAGGCCTAATGAGTAAGGCTTGTTTGAACAAATGAAGTGTGGAGATTAAAAGTCTTGAAACAAATGTATACTGGCATAATGGAAAAGCACCAATGTGAAAGGAAGCAGAAGTCCCCACACAACTTGCTTTGTTGATTTTCTGGTAAATTCCCTGCAGTAGAAGGCCATTGATTTTATTTTTAAAAATTATTCTAAATTCATTAACTGTTAATAATTCCATCCCATGAGATGGCTAACCCTGGCTTTTTCTGTCATTTTACGTACTCTGCCTGATCTGGATGTACCAAGATTCAGAGGATCCTCAGTGGACACAAAATTGTCATTATCTGAATCATCATTATATAAAACAGTCCTTCTGCCTTGGTTTCTTGTTTTAATCCGAGGAAGTCTACTGAAACGTCCTGAAAACATCGTATCAAATTCGTCATCTGCAACAGGTGCTCGTTTGGCTCTGGTGGCTCCTCTAGAGGCTCCTCTTCCTCCCCTCCCTCGGCCTCTCCCTCTCCCCGCACCTGAACCTCTTCCTCGACCCCCTCGTCCCCTGCCACTTCTTCCTCTGCCTCCTCTACTCCATCTACCCCATCTTCCCCATCTGCCTCTTCCTCCTGTGCCTCTCATCTTCCAGTTTCTTTTTCCATTGGCATGCTGTTTTCTGAGTTTTCTTTTAGGTCTGGTTTGTATGAATTTGCTATAGTCATGATCTCCATCTACATAATCTTGATCTGTTCTGGAAGTAGATTCAGAGTCAGAGTCAGAGCCACAGGTACTTTCTGAACTTAAACTGGATCCACTCTCGGAGGAGGATAAATGTGCTTTTTCTTTTGTTTCTTTCATCTCTTTTTCTTCTCCTCCCATGTTTTCCTCCTCTTCTGATGCACTGAGTAGCTTTCTTTTGGCTCCTGTTCGGGGTTCCCTGCCATCACCATTTGTAAGAGGCCCATCAACGGAGTGATCTTGTTTAACTGGTAAAACTCTATTACGAAATGATTTGGCTTTCCTTGGGTCATGGCTATTTCCATTTCGGCTATATCCACTGAAACTCGATGGAGAAAATGGTCCATCTCCTTCATCATCAAGTAGATATAGTGAAACACCTTCAGCAGCATCTGAAACAGGAGAAGAAAAAGGAGAACTAGTCCTGGCTTGAGACACTGAGGTATTCTGGTCATTTTTAGGCTGTAACTTCATTTGCTTCTGTTTCCCTTTTGGACTAGGAGCTCTGCTGCTAGATAATGAGCTGCTGCTGCTTCTCAGGCGCTTTCTATACCGTGGCCTTCTCCTCTTCTGACTTTGGATTGCTGACTTATATTCAGAGATGATATTTTTAATGTGATTTTCAAATAAGGCTGACAATCTCAGCGTCATGCTATAGACCCTTGACTTTTTATTAGAAGTATAAGCTTTGGAGTTGCTGAATATTTGGCGAACATCTTTATAAAATTCCAGAGGACTATCATAATTTCCTGATTCCAAAGTTTCTTTCACAGTGCTGAAGTCCATAGGTGTGTCTATAACATCTTGATAATCCTCAGAATGAGATGGATCTTGTGTATCTGGAAGAGCAGAGGCTGAGGGTTCTCCTTCTTGCTGTTGCTGAGCTTGGTAAGACTGAGGATCTGCTGGCTGTCGAAATGGCTCTGAATCTTCACGTTCATAAATGAGGCTCAGTAGTTCTTTGCACTGTTTTTTCCACGCATCGGGATTACACTTGGAAGACTGTCTTCTGCCTCGGCATTTGACCCTTCTTCCAGATGAAGTTCCAGGGCCATCTGAATCTAAATCAACCATTTCTGTATCCTCCTCTGCATCACTGCTGTTTAGTTCTTCTGCCTTGATTTTATTATAAGTATCCAAAATATCAGTACAGTTCTGATCCCCAATAAATCGAAGTAAGACATCAGTCACAATCTTGGCTGATTTAACTATAGGACTATCTGGCTCATTGAAAGTCCTAGCATTATGTTCAATATAGCGTACCTCCCACATTAATGCAGATATTCTCCTGTAAAAGCGATTTTCAAGTCTTTGTCTGATGGTATTGAGGTCAGTTGGATAAGCAACTACAGTACAATACAAGGGGTAGGCACTGAGATCCACTGGAACAGCAAAAGGGCTGGCAAAATCCAGGGAAAGAAGGTGGTTGATGCCCTGAATAACTCGTTCACATTCCTCGTCTCTGGAATGAGCTCCTCACTCTCCTTCCCGGGGTTTATATAGCAAAGCAGTCAGTTCTTCCTGGGACACAGGAACACCAGCACCAACTTCATCTGGAAAAGCAGTTCCTTCTGGAATTGGCTCCATATCCCAGGGGCTCATCTTTTCTCTTTCATTATTGTCCCAGTGAACACTGTAACACTGGAAAGAGCTATCAGGATACTCTGGCTGAAAAGGCTGCTGACTTTCCACAGTTCCAAACCACCAGGCATCATCTATTATACTGCGGAATCTATCACCAATCTGCCAGTTTCTTTCTTTGGCTTCATTATAAAACTGATGTAACACAAGGAAATCAATGACATCTGGCATGTCATGATACTTAATGGAAAAAGACTCTCCAGTCATTTTGCCTGAAATGGGATCCAAAAGTGCAAGTTTCAAGCAGCATAGTGTAGGTGGTCCAACCTCATATTTGATTCCTACAATCTTAACAAATTCTTGCTCCCTGAGATCCATTTTGTTCCATGGCTGTTTTTGTAAATTAACACTATATATTTTCGATTTCCTTACAGCTCTCACATAAGCTTCATGTCCTTGCCTAAAATAGATAAGCTCATCTCCCATCTGTGGGACGAATGGAGAACGCCGTGGTATGGTATCCAAGATCCACTGAGGGGCAAACCATTCTTCATTGGGTTCGCCTGCCATGGAAACAACTCCCCCTTTCTTCTTTCTAGTCTGTTTGGGTTTCTTCTGTCTATCGTCTAAAGACTTTAAATTTTCATCTTCAGAGCTGCTGTATATTTTCTGTGTAGCCTTTCTAGTTTGTCTTTTAGGAGGCTGCAAATTTATCCCAGCATCTGCTGTCCAATCAGAATATTCACTTGATGAATCACTGGAAGAACTTTCACTTTGCCACTCAATAACAGGATCTTCTACAGAAGCATCACTTGTGCCAACAGTTTCATCTTCCTCTGAGGAGCTGTCTGAATCTTCCTGTACACCTGAATTTTGAGATGATGCCTGTGAATTATGCTCTATGTTGGACTGTGTTAGATAAGTATGCTGACGCTTGCGCTGAGTCCTCCGTAGAGACCGTCCGCAGCTGGGTTGATAGTCATTTCTTTGGATAGTATAAGATGGCTTTTTCTTCTTTTCAACTGTATAAAGGCTAATTTCTAGGTCACCTTTTGCACTCCGACATTCTTCTTGCACCCTACTAACTCCAGTATTTAGTTCATTTACCACCACTCTTCTGCTCCAGGCCATAAGATCTCGTTCAGTGGCCATCTGGCTCCTAGGAGCATTGTTATGCATTTGCCGAACTCCTTCAATTGGACCACTACGCCGAAGCCCAATATTTGGGGAAGAAGATATGTTCATATTTGGACTACTCAGAGCACCATTAACAGAATATGATCTATTAATTGGAAAAATTGGAACATCTCCTTCATTAATTAGTCTAAGATCTTGTTCTCTCTGTAACTCTCTGATTATTCCATCAAGAATGCTTTCTTCTTGGTCATTGGTTTGCTGCCCAATTACCTGTTCTACCACCTCACCATCACCATTAGCCACATATCCCAACTGTGGAATAAGCTGTTCATCTTTACAATTTTCCCATCCTGGTACCAGCCGTTGAAATTTTGTAGGATGCGGATTTCCATCGACATCCACCAAGAACGGGGGAGGCATGAGGTGAGGTGCTTGTTGAGTTTGCTCATCCAATACGTAGTTATTTGCATCTCTGATAAGTGGCCGATAATCAGTGTGGAAAAACATCTGATCTGGAATCTTTTCGTAGTATTTACTGCATCCAAAGCCAAATAGCAACAAATGCCCATGAGAATCTGTACAGGCAAAATGGTTTCCATCTGGTGAAAATTTACAATCAAACACTGCCCCATGACCTTGGCCTTCAATCATATTAAAGTAATTTCGAATTTTGGTTCCTCGATCAAGGTCCCAAATAAAAATGTTCCCATCATGACCTGCTGAAAGTATGATCCTTTGATCAAATGGATGTGCTTCTAGAACAAATACTTCATTGTCATGCCCAGACAAAGTATGAAGAAGCTGTCCTGTGACAGAATTCCAAACTTTCAAAAGGAAATTGTTCACTGCAGTAATAACAGTGGTGTCATAACGATCCCAAGCCACCATAGTCACCTTCAGTTTAGTGACTTTGTCTTCTGCAGATGTCAAATTACTCCCACTCATTTTAGTAGCCATATCCAGCACTATACTCTTCCGTTCTTGTTGTTGATATTGCCAGATTCTTGCTGTTCCATCTCTACTTCCACTAACAAATCTTAAACTGTCTCCATTGTTACAGAACTGAACAGCAACAACTTTGTCCATGTGTGATTCTAATTCAGCAATTTTCTCTGGTGTCTCAGAACCCAAATAGTATATTCTAATAACATGGTCAGTGCTACCTGTTGTAATGAACATACCACCGGAACTGAAAGATGAACAAGATATCTGAACTCCAGGTCTGGTCTCTCAGTAAATTTTACTGGACGATCTCTAAATTTCATTGTTTTTACGTGCCATTGCCAGAAACAAATTGTTCCATCAGCACCAGTAGAAGTGAGGTATCTAGTTGTGCCTTTAGTTGATGGACAAAACTGTATGGAAGTGATAGAAGCTGAATGTCCCTGAAGGACAGCAACTGGTGCACAAGTTCGAAGACACCATACTCTCACAACTTTATCACAGCTGCCTGCAGCAATGAGAGTATTTTCATAGTTAACAGCCATGTCAGAAATTTCAGCAGAGTGCCCTCGAAGTGTAGCCAGGTGGCGTCCATCATCTGTAGCCCAGATTTTCACCAAACAGTCATCTGAGCCTGTGAAAATTTGCCTCCCAGTTCGATCAAATGCTACACAGTAGACAGAAGATAAGTGCCCCAGAATTCTCTTATGCATCTTGATGTGCTGGTAAGCAGATGAGGGGAAAACATGGCTGAAGCGACTACATCCGGTTAATTGCCTGGCTGAGGTGATATTCACCACATTTGGAGGTTTCACATAATTTACAGGTAGTTCTGGAGGTCTGCCTCTGTGTAGAGCTGCAAAAGCAGACCCATTCCATAGTGTACTTTTACAGTCTTTGGCATCCCGTAACAGAGACTGCCGACCAACACCTAGTAATGTCTGTACCCCAGGAACGCTCTGAGGGATCTCCTTATCTAATAAGGGACCAATCCTCTCACAAATTTTAAGGAGGTAGTCTGGAGGAATGTGTGCATTGGCTGCCACCAGATCCTCGAAGCTTCTTCGGTGCTCTTTCCCCTCCCAGTCTAAGCGGCGCGGAATCAGCTGATGCTCCTCGAGCTCTTGCACTAGCACCTGAGCGGATTTGTTACAGGGTCCGGACTGCAAGAACCTAGCGATCAGGTAATACAGCTCTAAAGAAGGGGTGGGGGTGGGGGAGATGTTGAGAGAGAGGCAAGGAAGAGAGATACAAGCAGCTTCGATCTGGGTAGGTGCCGCCGCCATCCTTTTCCCGAGGGGGTTTGGGGGCTTCGCTCCGGAGGGTTGGCGGGGGCGGGTGGGGGCGCTGCCTCTATTGTGGTGAAGGCCCCATGCTTGGGAGTCCCGCCGCTTCCGCCGCACTCCTCGTCCCAGTTTCGGTCTCTCTCGGATCGAGGCACTGTTTTAACTACCAGCTCTTCAAAAACACAGTAGAGAAATTATCGGTAAATGCCTATCCACATAACAGGATTTGCCATATGTACACTAATTATGCAATCTGTCCTAGGGTAAGATGAATGGAATCTTGTAGGAAATTCTTGTATTGTTTCTTTTCCAACAGTTTCTATTATGGGTGTGCATGTATATTAACATTGCAAATGATTGCATTTAAATAATGGAAATATAGAATGAGTGCTATGCCTGGAGAGATGACTCAGTGGTTAAGATCATGACAACTGGTCACAGACATTCAGGGATGTCAGAAGTAATCTTGAGATCCACATGTGGGTTTTCAACTTCTCAAATGGTGTCTCTGGTCCTTTCTACATTTGTTACTCTCTTCTGTGTATTGAGATACATACACTGTCTGCCCTTGTGTACTTTACAATGCAATGGGTCTATAGTCATTAAGGAAACACAGTTGTCCCTTGGTATCTATGGGGAACTGACTGCAGAGCTCTTTTCAAAAACCAAAATCTATACATGCTCAAGGGTCTTTTATAAGAATTGATGACATATGCACATAGACTTTACATGTCCTGCTACCTACTTTGTTATTATTTTCATTAGTATATAAAGCAATGAAATTAATGATGACATATTCATATATATAGACAATCATACTTTGATCATATCTTCCCCCTTTGCCCTGTTATTTCCATCTTTCTCCCCTCCTCTGTCCAAATAGTTCTTCTGTGTTTATGTCCTATATACCAAGATTTTTACATATAAAGCATGGCATGCATAGTTTATATTTAAATCATTTCAAAATGACTTGTAAAAATTAACCCAATGTAAATAGCATAAAATACCTGTTGTATTGTACTGTTTAAGGTGAAAGATCTATACATGAGCAGAATTGATGCATTTCTTTGAGATTCCAATCTGTGGTTGGATGAAATTGTGCTTGTAGAAACTGCAGATATAGAGGATAGAGGGCTGATTTGATAATACTGTGTAAGGCTTATGAATACAATGAAGAAAAATAAACCACTGTGAGGGGGATAGAATATGCTATGTGAGATGTCTGGGCATTGGTGATGCATATTACTTAATCCTCTCAGAATTTGTGGAGAATCTCTCTGATGACCATTATTGGGCAAGCCTTTCCATGAACTGTGCTACCAAGAATGTTAGACCCCGGAGTATGGAGATGGTCCATGTGGCATTGGCACTGTGAGAACTGACCAAGGAAAGACAGTGATGTAACCTCACGACTAGGTAAGACCTCAAAGGAATAGCACAGGTTGTCAACCTTAAGATAAACTCAACAGGCAGTGCTTGGGGCAATGAAAGCCTCTGTAGCCAGGTCTGGGAGTACAGAGAGACCCCAAGAGTACTGGATACAGACAAAACTCACTAGGAACTGTAAAAGAATATGCCACAGAGCTTCTGGGAATATGTGAATGGCAAAAGCAGGTGAGGTTATGTGGACATCATAAGGCAAAATTGGTTCATGATGGGTGAAATTACAGAGATACCTTGGACTGGGTAGATGGTTGAGGGAGGTTTGGTTCTTAGATGATGCAGCAGGGGAAGTGTATGATTACTAGACAGGAATAGCATTTGGAAGTGAGGGCATGTTGTTTCTACATGAGATTATTTGGGGGAATACAAGGCAAAGCTTTTTTGATCTGCACTTCTGGATATAGAATGTCATACATGGGAGTGTAGAGATGACACTGTCAGCAGATGTGCTACATACTCTGATAAAGCAAATCAGTGCATGTTTCATGCTTCTCATGTCAATTTTAGGGAGTGTAGGGATGGCTTAGAAAAACCTGGTTCTGAAGAAATGATCATGGAATGCTGGTACAGGAACTACTATTGCAAGGAGGGCCTACTACTGTTAGATGAGGTTTTGGTGATTGTAAACAGACATACAAGAACATAAATTGGTGGCTGATAGCACAAGTCACATTTCTATCTGCAGGAAATGACAGGAAAAGCCACCGAGGATACTCTGGGACCAAAATTAGACACACTACAATGGTGTTAATGTTGTAGGGTAAGAGCTAGACATCTAGGCAAGAGAGCATTAGGATGACACTGACAGGTGAAGTTCAGAAGCATCATCACGCTAGCCTAATGTGTGATGTGTAATATTTTCATCCTAATATAGTTCTTGAAGTTTGCAGATGGCACACATGTGCTTGGATCTAGGATGCATCACTAGGATCCAGCTGTTGTCAAAAAAGCATGACATGAGCTAGGGCTGATAATAACTGAATGGTTCTTGCAAGTTAGTTTCATGGGAGTGCTTCAAGTCAAGGTCAATTTCCAATTTATATATCCAGCCTTAGAATATGGAGATGGTACATGTGTGTCTGTATTTAGAATAGCTATTAGGGAAACCTGTTCCCAGAGCTGCATAGCATGAAGTAGGCATGGGAGTGAAGACATCAGTCTTTAAAGAAGGATTCAGTGGATTTGAGTAAGCAAATCAGGGTTATACCTACATTGTCCTGGGAAAGTGTACATGGGAAATGGCACCCTTGTTTCTTGGGGGATTTTTTAATGAAAAATATGTGCTGGAGCTATAACACCAAAGCTAGCGATGGAAGTACGGTGAAGTCCCTGGCGTCAAGGTTCAGGGGATTTCAATGGTTAAGCCCAGTGTATGACCTACAATTTCTGAGCAAGACCATAGAGTGTGAATTTAGTACAAGCATGTTTAGTTGCAGTAGTGAAATCAAGTGCAGTACATGAGGTATTACAATTAGGCCTATCTGTGAAGAGGTGACATTGGAAACCAAGGTTAAGCAGAGATGACAAGGGAAAGGAGGTAACAAATTTTACATCCAGAGTTAGGCCTGGTAGTGTGTAGACAGCAAGAATGGGCTTGGCAATAAAACTATCAAAAAGGAATTCTAATGGATAAACTGTGTGGTCTGTGCAGGGCCTGTGAGTAGAATACATCCCTGTAGGACAAGGTTCAGGCTTCCTCAAAATGTAAATCCCATGCCAGATCTGCACAAACTTAGGCTTCTTAGTATAGGAATCGCAAATGTGGAATTATGAGGAAATCCAGTGAAGGAGCTGTGTGAACGGAGTCAGGCATTACTGGTAAGCAAAGGTTCATGGATCTTATCATGCAAAGCAGGGACACGATATGTCAATTAGATATAGGCACAGAAGAATAATAATGATAAGTCAGGGCTTGAGGGAAATAAACTATGATAGCATTTGCAGGAACAGTATAATGGATCCTAGGTCTGGGATTGTGTGCATGGTGTTAGCAGAAGTGATTCAAGGAAGCGCTTCGGTAAAAGATGGTGATCAGTCTGCATCTTGGGGAGCAGCAATAGCCTAGATAGGTGTAGGTCAGGTAGAATTCAGCACAGGTAGGCAGTTGAAAGTCTCTGTGACCATATCTAGGCAAGCAGAAAAGGGGTGACTCTGGTAGGAAGGGTTATAGGGAGATCACTCCGCAAAGGCCATGTGTGAACTATACATCTCATGGTACTCCATTTAAAGTGAATATGCACTGGTATATTTGATTCTGGAGAAGGGGGTTGCTCAACAGAGAAAACCAAATCATATACTTACCATTCCATTATTGAGATAACTTAGGTCAACAATCAAGGAAGGAACTTAGAGCAAGAATGGATGCAGAGATCATGGAGAAATTGTATTCAGTTACTTGTTCACTGAGGCTAACTCAGCATGCCTTCTTTTACAACACAGGATGGGATGTTGTATACAACTATGGCACCACCCGTGGTGCCCCAGACACTCCAAAATCAATCATTAATTAAAGAAAATGCTCTAAGGCTTTCCTAGAGATCAATTTCAAGAAGACATTTTGTCAATTTATCCCTCTGCTCAGATGACTCTAGATTGTGTCAAGTTAATGAAAGAATAACCAGCAGAGCCAGGTTCTACTCTTTTCGGAGGACTCTAGATATTGTCAGGCTAACAACCACAAGACAATAACCAATACTACCAAGTCAATATCATGATACACAAAGAGCTTGGCAGCCTGTTCTTCACAGTACAGAATTTGCAGAAAGGGATGATCCAATATTTCAGGGTAACAGATCTTTGAATGGCATTGTGAAATATTAAGTGTCAGAGCTAAAGTCCCTACAAGGGGTCCAAAAAGGCTCCTGGATGAAGATGTAAAGGGGAAGCCCATGCTGGAGTGTCTACCCTGGTCAATGGGGATGCCAGAAACATGATGTACCTCATGTGTACAGCTGCATGTGTGTAACACAGACAGCTCAAGAAAGAGATCACATAATTCAACCAGCAATGCCAGAAGGCCAGGGTACCTAAAACATCTTTGAAGCAGAATGGTTGTCTCATATCACTAGATTAAAGGCATGGAGCTGCTTGATTCAGGGTTTATCCATGGGTTCAGGCCTTTTTTCTGTCACCTCTTCCATTGCTTAGTTCTGTTTCATCCCTCTTATATTGATAATATTACTCACTATCCTTTTGTGTTACAAGTATGTGAGTTGATTTGTGATTGCTCATGGTCCCACAACTGAAAATCTCTGGGAATCCTAAAGAGACTTTGGACAGCTGGAAAATCTTCACTGTTAAAAATGATGGGTACTTTTAGTGATGGCATAAATAAATTTTTCACTAGTTAATGGCCTCCATTCTATGGGGACAAAGGATTGAAGTAGCATGATTAGTAGGATTGTTCAGAAGGTTATTACTTTTGTCATCAGATTTATGTGAATTTGATCAAAGTGATTTAGAATGTAAAATGAACAAGCCACTTTGGATGAACTACTGATCTTGATACCATGTTTTCAACCAAAGAACACTGGAAATGCATGACCATTTGTGATTTTCACAAACATAAGGATCACAGATTCCAACTTCCCATTGTACAGAATAAACTTCCTACTACATGAAAAATGTATGCACTGTCTGCAAATATAACACTATGAAGTCCATCTGTGCCCTCAGTAGACATAAGGAGTTACCTCTTATCACCCAAAAATATATTTGCTTTTGTATGTTGAGGTATCAACTTCCTTAAAAAATGATTTGACATGTTATTGGATGTGTTTATTTTTGCAACATTCATTTCATGTGTACTTTTTCCTACTACTGCTTTTTGGAAATGTCTAAACCTTGATAATGACCTGCAGAATTTGGCATATAGAAATTAAATTTAAAGAAAGGAACACATTAGAAAGAGGAAGAAGTAAGCTTAGACACACCCAGAAAACTGAGTTGATGTTTTATTTAGAATGAGTTGATGACTACATAAATTTGGTGTGAGAATAGGAAATTTCTTTTATCAATCTTCACACAGATGTTGCAAATGCTGTAGCCTTCACTTCAGAACTCTTGTTTGGTAACTTTGAAAGTACACTTGGTTTTCATCTGACTGTCTAGTTTCAAAGAGCTTATCTCAGAAAGAAAGATGATCACACCAAAGAGTGACATGGTGGCTGTCAGGACTGCTAATGGGAACACAGCAGTATAGTGTTTGCTTATCAAGGCTTCTTTTTCAACAGGAAATTCAGGTGGAAATTCAAGAATGGTTTGACCGTAATGATCTGCAAACTGGTTCCAGCTCACGGAAACAAATGTGAAGAGGCTGCTAATACACAAAACTAAGGCAGCAAACTTGTAGCAGTATATCTGCATCTCAACTACTGGTTTTTTCATGCAGCTGATCTTAATTGCCATTGCACTGAAAACCAGAACTATAGGCTTCATCAAAATAGCCCATATTATCAGATTCTGTGCATACTGAAATTCAGGTGAAATGATCCAGGTGGAATTGATAGGGATATGGACCATCACCTTGGTTATGGTTCCTGAGATATTAAACTCTTGAGAGTAATGAGCTTCCCAGAGTCCAAAGGACACAAACTGTACAGTGCTGTTGTTGAATTCCCACAGGCGCCAATATGGGTAGCTTGCAATGACTATTTCAAACATGAAAGCTGATAGGCTGCTAAGGAAGCCAGTCAGTTTGAAGATGCACTCCTTTCCATTGATGAATCTGAAGATGAGATTGAACAAATATACAATTACGTCAGGAACATGGAAATGTGGGTAAACAAAATGAGCCATGATAACTTAAAGGGGAATTATAAGTAGAAGAATGCTCAAATATGATCTCTAATTATGGAAGTGGACTAATATATGATAATTGCAAACTGATGTCTGCTGAACGAAGAGGAAGAATGAAAAATGATCTCATGTTTTCCTCATTCATATCTAATTTCTATATATGAATAATACATTTTTGTGTATATGTATACTTGCATATACACACAGGCACACACACAAAGACATGGGAACATAAAAAACCATGCCCAAAAGTAAATGTAGGTAGGTAAAACTAGCAATGTAGAATATGCCTCTTACTTGTACATTTTCTGAAATGTGCAGTTTACAAAACTATGCAAAATTTATAATTAAAGCCACAATGTGAATGACTTTCAAAATATATGGATAACCAGGTTAAGGATATAGCTCAGTAGCATAATGTTCTGATCTGAACATACTGGAGACAAGAAAGACATTGGTCATGGTCAAAATTAAAAACCTACATATACAACATCATGATTCATGGGCATTTCCATCATCGACCCATAACTTATTCAAGTGGGAATTTTCAGATAACCAACTTCATTTGATTGATGCATATAAAGTATCCTGACTATATGTGTGAACAATCATATTCTTTATCTCAAAGCTAAGACTCTACATTTACTTTGCAACAGTATATTTAAACGACTTCTCATTTCATATTTTTGGATGTGGTGTTAATTCCCATGAAGCACTTTGCCGTGATTGGATGCCACTGAGTACTTACGAAAGGAAGCAGGGATAATTGTGTAGCCACCAAACATTTGGAGAACACCATTGCCACTGCACATGCAGAGGCTTGCATGGGTCTGTAACCAGGATTGCCTTGTCATTTCTTCCCTAGAGCTAACCACTGCTCAACAGTCTCTAAGGAATATGCATTTTAAATTAGAGATGACAGTTTCTGTACGACATGGGAAGTTGTATCAGCAAAATGCGTTTTCAACTAATGGTGGCTTGCCTGACACCCTGCCCATGCCTTCTTCCTTGACAAGGCAGATCTAAGGCAGGAACTACAGAAGCAGTGACTTTTGAAGCTCGAGTGTAATCAGGATGGAGAATGCTGTTGCGACAGTCAAATGAGTTAGCCTGGCAGGATCTGGTTCTGTCCTTGTCTGAATCCCATGGAGGAGATTCATGTGTTTCAGAGAGATTCGATTTAAAACCTTTCATGTAACTCATATTTAGGTTTTACCTTCGCATACCATGGATGGTGAAGAGATCCATTTGAAAGATGCCGAGATCATAAATATCTTCCAAATAACAGGAAATATTGACCAGAAAGGAAGTCACATAAGGGGTGAATCACCTTCAGTAAAAGAAGTCCTGTTACACATATTTCAGCACACAACAGTGTCTCACCAACCAACCCCAGGTTTACAAAAAACAAAATAAAAAAAACTACCCATTCCTCTCCTCTTCTTTGCTTCATTGGAGCCTCATTTATACACTTCAGAGATGTTAGCCCATTTGATATTCCTGTCCCTTCAATGAGTTCCAGACAATCATCACCATTTTATAGATAGGAAAACAAAACATAGAGTCCAATTCACATGCTCAACTTCAGGAAATCATGTTGACATAAAGGTCAGTACAAACTCCAGAGCCCTCATAGACACCCAGGGATTTACAGCACTTATAATCAGAAATATTTACTCACATGAGAATATTTTCAAAAATAGCTGAACCATATGCCATTGGCTATTTTGCCGTCTTTGTCCAGTGAAATCAAGTGATTAATAAACCTGCATGGAAAACAGAATACTTGCCCCCTTGTCTCTTCTGTGTAGTCCAAAATTAGTGACTGTCAAGTGTAAGGTGACTCTAGAAATTCTCATGTTTCCACGGTTACCAGAGTTGAATGGTAGATTATGAGCAACATGACAATATCATGACATAAATTCTTAAAGTACCAGAGGGCTTAATATTCCTCTCATATATCTAGGTTTAAAGGAATAATTAACTTATTTCATTGTTACTTTTTTCATTTATTCTTTGTGTCTTTCACATCATGCCTCCCAATCCAACCCATCCCCAACCAATAATAAGACAAAATAAAATTTAAGAGAACAAAGGGAGAAAGAAAAATGTCATCATGGAGGCTGCCGTGTGATACAATCAGTCATGCAGTAAATCCCTTCATCCACTTTTATGGGCAGGCATTCAGCACAAAGCATCATTTGTCTGGTTTGAGGTCTCTGGATTCTGCTATACCATTAATGTGTGGTGGAGATTATTTAGCTGTTTTCAAGGAACCAACACCCTCTTCTATGTTCCAAGAGATCACAGATGGGGTGGATGGTGAGGTGGGCCAAGATATAACCCTGGTTCTGGTCCTGTGTAGTTGCAGAGTTTGCCTGTCAGCTCACCCATCTTTACCATGAGGGTAAGGTCTCTAGTTTTGCTCTGGGTAGTTCATCCTTGCATCGCTGAGCTAGGGCAGGGGTCATTTCTACTGCTTTCATATCCTCAGGGTTTATTTTTCCACACATACACTTTCAGGGCCAGCTCATTTTGTAGCCCAAGGGAGGTATAGGAGTTTCTCTTCTAAGTGTTGTAGCTGATGAGGGTCAGGGGCAGCTCAACAGTTCTTTTGGCCTCAGGACTACTTCTTTTACCTGTCTAAGCTTTTGGTGTGGTAGGGCAGTAACTTTTCAGCTTTTTGTATGGCTCTGGGGAGGCATGGCTATAAGACTCCCTGGCAGACATTGGGAAGATTAGCTAAGAAGGGAGCTTTAAATCAGTATAGAATTCTAAGAAGAGAAAAGAGGGGCTTTGTGTGATGTTTGGTCTCTGTTAGCATATTCCCCAAATATTAGCTGATTAATGGGACCTCTGAGCTGTAGAGATGACAACTTAGGTGGTTATATCAAAGGGAAAACTATGGCTATGTAGTGTAAAATCCAGAGCATGACACTTTCAGCCTCTGGGGCAAGCAGTGGAACACTTGTTTCCAATGACGCCCGAGTAAGAGAGATTTCCTTTCACTCAATAACCTTTTCAAGAATTCAAGGCACCTAGTCTTTATTCTATGTATCAAATTATACATTCAAATTAAAAATCCTCTTCTTGACTAACCACAGATATATGTGTCCAGTAGATGGAATATTTTCATGACATAAACACACAAGCAGTAGAAATCCCCAAAGCTATTCCTAGGGGAGAAATGAAGCTTTTAGGGAGGAGATAGAGTGACTCATGAAATTACTGACAGGAGCAACTTATTTCTACAGCCAGTAACACCATAGCCTAGAATCACTCACGTGGTAGGTCAGCCTGTTTAATACTAAACATCCTCTGTATCTCTCATGGCCCTTTACTCCATAACACTCTCACAGCCTCAGGGCTGTCTTGCTTGTACCTCTGCCAACAGGGTCAGCTCTATTTGCTGCCCAGGTGAGGATAATCAAGGCCTGCTTTCCTGAGTGTTGCAGATGATAATGGGGAGACTCATCTTGCTTGTCTATCTCAGGCCATAGAGCAAGTAGTAAGGGGGTATCTCTCCCCCACCCACACTGCCAAATGACAGCCATGAAGTGGGGACAGCTCTACCATGCTCACAACCTTGAGGCTGATTCACCCACACATCCACCAACAGGACTGGCATTGATGGGCAGGGTAAGGGCATCTGTCTCCCACCCATGCCCCCGAGAGAGATGAGTAGTGGGGATAGCTGTCCCATGCTTACAACATCAGGACTTGCTCACTATACCTGCAAACAACAGGGTCAACTCGACTGCGCTTCTCAAGCAAGATGCAGGGTCAAGGGGGAAGGGGTAAGTAGGGAGCATCTCTCCCCTGCCCACACCAATACATGATAGAAGAGTAATGGAGACAGCTCTTCCATCCTCACAACATTTGAGCTCTCTCACCCACACATCCACCAACAAGGTTGACTCTTGTGCTGCCTAGGTGAAGTTCAGGAACTACTCTCCTTAGTGTTGCAGCTGGTGTGGGGGCAGAAGCTGCCCCTTTCCCACTCTTATAACCTCATGGCCAACTCTCCAACCTGCCTGAGTTGTTGATGGAGGCAAGGGCATCTCTACCCCACCCATTCAACAATATGGCTAGGTCTCCAATGTTCATGTTCTTGGTGTTGGCTGCCAGTTCCTTTGTCAACGGTGTCAGCTCCACTGTTCTGGCCAGGAAAGATGCAGGACCCACTTTCCCAAGTTGGTAAATAGGTCTTCTACCTCACCAGCTTGATATGGTAGGAGCAAAGGGGAGTTCATCTTTCCCTCATCCCCACCATCACACTGCAGACAAAGGAGGGGTACTAGCTATGCTCCTTTCAAGCCCTCAGGGATGGCTCACCTGCAGCTTTGTCTACAGCTTCAACTCTACTGTGTTTCCCAGGTGAGGCAGAGGGCCCATTCTTCCCTAGTGTTGAAGTCAGTAAGGGGTTGTGTCAGGTCCCCACCTGCTGAAGGTGTCAAGGGGTGAAGGGATCAGGACATCTTTCCCTCACACATGCTACCACACTGTAGATGGGAGGGGCATAATCTACTCTCCCAATCTCACACCCTCAGGGCCAGCTCACCTATGCCCCTGTGAAAAACCTCAGCTATATTGTACTGCCCAGGAGAGGTGAAGTGCCCTCTCTCCTGAGTGCTTCAGCCAGTGAGGGGAGCCACCAATTCTGTATAGCCCTGTCCTCTCTGCCTTCATTAGGGTCACAGACCAAAACATGGCCCTTAGAAGGAGACCAGACCCAGATATCAGTCCATGTGTGCATGTGTGTTTGTGTGTTTGTGAGTATGTATGTGTGTATATGTATGTGTGTGTGTGAGTGTATGTGTGTGTAAACATAAAATAACTTTTCCCTGTGACTTTTTCAAACAAATTTTGTTATTCATCCCTGCTTGTCTTGTATTCTCCTCCCTCCTCACAGGGTTTAAATAAAACTGGATTCATGGGTATTCTTCTCCTCTGTTAGTGCCCAGCATATGCTTCAGTACCATGGACTCTGGTCAGGAGCAGTGAAGGGTCCACTTAGGCACCAGCTTGGCTTCTCCATATTCATTGAGACATTTAATAATTGTCTTCAGTATTAGATATTTGCTATCAGTTTTTGAATGGAAGTGAAAAGTCTTGGAAATAGCTGCAGTTGATTAGGGGT